TGGTATATACAAATGCAACTGATTTCTGAGTATTGATTTTGTATCCTGCTACCTTACTGAATTTGTCTATTAGTTCCAACTGCTTTATGATGGAGTCTTTGGCATCCTCTCTGTATAGTATCATGTCATCTGTGTATAATGACAATTTTACCTCCTCCTTGCCAATGTGGATGCCTTTTATTTATTTTTCTTGTCTGATTGCTGTGGCTAGAACTTCTAGGACTATGTTGAATAGAAGTGGAGAAAGTGGACAGCCTTGTCTTGTTCCTGATCTTAAAGGGAATGGTTTTAGCTTTTCCCCATTGAGTATGATGGTAGCTGTGGGTTTATCACATATGGCCTTTATTATGTTGAGATATGATCCCCCTATTCTCACTTTGCTTAGAGTTTTATCAAAAATGGCTGCTGTATTTTGTCAAATGCTTTTTCTGCATCTATTAATATGACTATATGATTTTTATTTTTATTTTTGTTGATGTTGTATATCCCATTAATTGATTTCCAGATGTTGAACCACCATTGCATATTAGGGATGAAACCCACCTTGTCATGATGTATGATCGTCTTAATATATTGCTGAATTCTGTTTGTTAAGATTTTGTTGAGGATTTTTGCATCTATGTTCATCAGAGATATCGGCCTGTATTTTCCTTTTTTGTACTGTCTTTGTCTGTTGTTGGGATCAGGGTGATCGTGGCTTCATAGAAAGAGTTTGGGAGCCTTCCGTCCTTCTGGATTTTTTGGAATAGTTTGAGGAGAATAGGTAATAATTCTTTTTTGAATGTTTGGTAAAATTCACTTGTGAAGCCATCTTGCCCCGGGCTTTTATTTGTTGGGAGCTTGTTGATTACTGATTCGATTTCCTTGGTTGTAATTGGTTTATTCAGATTTTCTGTTTCTTCTTGAGTTAGCTTTGGAAGGTTGTATGCTTCTAGGAAATTATCCATTTCTTCCAGATTGTCAAATTTGTTGGCATATAATTGCTCATAGTAATTTCTTAAGATTTTTTGTATTTCTGTGGANGCTCATAGTAATTTCTTAAGATTTTTTGTATTTCTGTGGAGTCTGTTGTTACTTCGCCTCTTTCATTTCTGATTTTACTAATTTGAGCCCTCTCTCTTTTTCTTTTGATGAGTCTAGCTAGGGGCTTGTCAATTTTGTTTATCTTCTCAAAAAACCAGCTCTTGGTTTTGTTGATCTTTTGTATTGTTTTTCTGGTCTTTATTTCGTTTATTTCCATTCTGGTCTTTATTATCTCCTTCCTTGTGCTCTGATTGTGTTTTAATAAAAGTTAATTTACAAAAACAGTTTGTGGGCCAGATTTGGCCAACCTCTGAGATAGAGAAAGCCACTGTTACCTTTTGATTTCTTTTACTATAGATAAGCACATATATACTATATATGTTCTTAAAAATGTGATCATACAGCACATATTACTTAGTATTAATAATTTGTCTTTTCACCTTTTTTAAAACTAAAATATATAATGAAATCTTTCTCTGACTTCTGTATTATTCTCCCAACTAGTTTTTTTAAAAAATATTCAATGTATTTCATTGAGCTTTCTGTGAAACTACCATTAATTTCCATCTCTTCTCTTAGATATCTGAATTTTAGGCTTTGCAACAAATAATGAGTGATTGATCATAGGTCTTAGTATATAATGCAGAGTGAAACATTTTAGTAATTAAGCTGTTTTTGAAGCAATTTAAGTTGATTTCTCTATTGTTTGCTATTTGACAATAGGTTATACTTCACCTAAGCAATTCAGATTAATATATTTTTAAAAAAACATAATTTCACATTGAAGTAATGATATTTTTATATTGTTTCCAGAGATGCAGGGGCTGCAAGACTTGATGTGTTTTCAGGTGAGCAGATTTGCTTTCTTCTTTTTCTTTTTCTAATGGAAAAGCCTGCAGATATTTTGCTTGTATTTTATTTCATGAAATCAAACCCCATTCTATAGATCTTTAATGTAATCTAAGCACTTTGTGAATGCAGTGACCCTGTGGGGAGCCAGGTGGAGAAAAGTACACTGCAAAAGTGAAATTGTTCATTTGTTAGAGGACTCATTTACAAAATTAGATCTTTCAGGGTTTTGTGAAAGCATTAGAGTGATTTGGAACAGTCAATTTGTCTGCCACGAGAAAACAGTTTTACTTTAAAAAGCATATTAAACTTAATGGCTTTTCATAATTAAGTGTACATCATTCTAAACTTATCACAGTTTTAAACTGCATAAGCGAATGTGCAGTGTGAATGTTCGAGTGCTGTAAAATTCAAACCAAATACGTTTTCTTCATTAACTTCATTTTTAGTCACCAATTATTGCACTTACTAGTTCATTGCACTAGAATATGATGCAAATGAAGTTAGGTTTTTGGATCCAGCCATGTAGTAAAAACTCCCTAGAGAGATGCCTGTGGTGTTAAAACTGATCCTTATCCCCAATTGTGTCAGATCCCTTGTAAATATTGGCTATTGGTCACAGGCAAGAGAATATGTTCCGTGATATAAATCCATATCTGTATTTAAAAAGCAACTCAGTTCAATTCAGTTTTCTAAGAGTTTCTGATCCTGTGCCTGGTGGATGTTTATGGTTCATAAGGGAGGAAGACATGGACATTTTGAGAGACCTGAGGGAACATAATACATGACACTGTTCTTCTTTTTCTATTCTCCAAGTTCTGAAAAGCGAGAAATAAAACAAGAGAGTCGGTCTTTGCTACTACTGATAAGAGCCGGGCCGGAGTCTGCAGCTTAGTGTGAAGGGCTAGCAGACTTGGTGGTCACACCTCAGAACCAGCCACTTGTCCCCCAGTGGAGTCAGGCTTCCTCTGGGAGCTGGAGTGCCCTGGGGAGAGCGAAGCGGACCTCATGCTGTGCAGGCAGCTCACTCCCAAGAAGGACCACAAGAGATCTGAACAGAGCCTCCCTAAATTGCCAGTCAGATGAGTGAGCTTACTGCTACAGGGGAAAGTGCTCAAGAGACAGGGAAGGGCCCCTTTGCTAACACTAATTGAATCCCATTCCACAGAGAAGGAAACAGTAGTAATGGAGAAAAAGTGGTCTTCCCTTACATATCCAACTATTTAGAGTCAAATAGAATAAGCATCTCTTGCTCAGGAGAAACTCAAAGTATGGTGGGAACACAGAGAAAGTATGCCTCGTATTATAGAACTAGGACTTCAAATATAGATGTGATTTTTGTGAAGCAGTGTAGGAAGAAAGGAATATTCCTGTATGAGGAATTACTGTGAGAAAAAGAACAGAGGTAGACTAGTTCAGGGATTCATTCATTTATTCAATAATAATTTATTGAGGACCTATTTTGAATAAACCAAGTAATTATTCTAGGTGCCAGGGATAGAGCAGTCCAAAATATCTGATTAAGTCTGTGTGCTCATGGAACATGCATTCTAAGATAGATAGTAAAGAAATGAACGAATACATAATTCACCAGGCAATGATAAGTGTGGAAAGGAAAAAAATAAAGCAGGGTAAGAGAACAGAGAGTGCTGGGCAAGATGCACTATTTTTCACAGCATGATAAGGGAAATCACCTAAATAGGTGATTTACCAGCAAAGATCTGAATGATGTGAGAGTGAGCCATGCAGATACTTGGGGAAAAAGCATTCAGGGAACAATGACTAGGCTAGTTTGACTAGAGCTAAGTGTTAGAGCCAAATGGATATGCACTTTGAATACCACACTAAGGGGATATTTTCCTGTAGACAGTGGACCATTGAAGAACTTAGAACAGTGGTTCTCAACCTTCTTAATGCTGCGACCCCTTAATACAGTTCCTCATGTTGTGGTGACCCCCAACCATAAAATTATTTTCTTTGCTACTCTATAACTGTAATTTTGCTACTGTTATGAATCGTAATGTAAATATCTTTTTGTTTTCCGATGGTCTTAGGCGACCCCTGTGAAAGGGTCATTCGACCCCCAAAGGGGTCTCCACCCCCAGGTTGAGAACCGCTGACTTAGAGCAATGTCATTTGGCAAACTAAAAATGTGCTTTTTTTCTTTTTTAAAGATACTCCAGCAATAACATAAAGGACAGTCTATAGAAATATGTAAGAAGAGATAGCAGGAAGGTGGAACTATGGAAATGACCTAAGTAAGATTTTATGAGAATTTCAACTAGGGCAGTTGTCCTTGAAATGGAGAAGGCAGGACAGATTTAAGCTGCATTTCATTCAGAGCACACATATTATGATGAAGAATTGAGAGGAATTATCTGGAATCACAAAGTCAACAAATGTAATCAGAATTCGCACATTATGTTCTTTTATGTCTGTGGCAGGACACCAGCAGGACATGACATATTTACCTCACTTTCTCTAGCACCTATTATTGTCGTAACAAATAAAAAACAATCTCTGCAGTTTGAGTTCAAAATGGCACTTATTTCTTTAGATTATATGTGTTTTGTGAAAAACTGAACTTACGATTTTTAAATTTTAAACTACCTATTCATGTTATAATTTATTTTTTATTACAGCAAATCATAATACAGACATAAACTGAGCAAACTGATTTTCCCTTAAAAACAAAAACAAACAAACAAACAAACCAGGGCAAGGGCTTATACACCAACCTATAGAATATGGGGATGCATAGTTAATTTAAGCATTGGGCTAGTTTTCAAATTATTTACTGAGGCCCCTGAATACTCTCGAGTCTTAGGTTTTCTTCAACTAATTTGAGAGATGTAAAATTCAAATTAAATATATATTTAGCCAAGGGTGTTTTATCTGTATGTATTAGTTTTTGTAAACATGGGTATGCATTAATACATGTTTTTTTGAGTGCTTACCAAGTGGTAGGCACTGGGCAGGTGCTGATTGCACACTGTACCTGATTTTAAGGACTTGCATCCCACAGGGGTCCATGGGAAATACAGTGCATATCTATATTTTTATGGGTGGAGGGACCGTAGTTTTCATCATATCCCTGCTGCAACTGTGTTCTAAAAACTGTAAGAACTAACAATTTGAGAGAGAAATAGATATGTGAACAGGTATTTAAATATACTATGAAAGGTGGGGAACGCAAATTATAAAGAAAACACCCATTATGGGCACCTGGTTACATGGAAGGATTAGGGAAGCTTCCTGGAAGAAATCTTACATGAATTAAAGACTTAAATGGAAACGAGACCTTAGACTGGTGAGTCAAGGATAGAGGGGCAAAGAGGAGGTGTGTGCAGTGGCTTGACCTGGAGAGAACCTAGAACACTGATGGAGTTACAAAAATGTTTGAGATACTCAAGATTTAGTTCAAGGGGATTATTTGTGTGGAAGTAGAAGATTGCAGTATGGGTGGGGCAGGGGGTGACCAGAGATGAGCTTGGAGAGAAACAGAACCAGGTAGATAGAGCACCTCTCTCTCGTGGTGTGTGTGTGTGTGTGTGTGTGTGTGTGTGTGTGTGTGTGTGTGTGTATAGTTGCTAGAAAAGTCATGATGTATTTTTTCTGTTTTTTAT